TCTATTCTAGATTTATCATGCAATATTTTTTTTTTCTTTGGAAAAAGTTAGACAAATGTCTCATCCCCATTGTTTAATCATGCACTAGCCAGTAACAAGGCATATACTTTGCATTTGTCTTATGTTCATTGTTCACTTTGTTTTTGTTTTATCTTAAACAAGAACGAATTTTGTTGTGAGCTTACTCCCATGACAGTGCGATAGAAAGATGTAGTTTATAAAACTTCACAAAGTTGCTCTGTGATGAGCAAGGATTGTTCGTACTAAGTGGTTTTGTGACTTCCGCCTTTGTAATTCATCTTTGTCCTCCACGTATATTGATTGAATCATTTCATTAAAAAAAGAAATATGCACAAATTAATGTCTGGATAAAACAAATATTTAAAATGCGAATCATGTAGAAATAATAAAAAAAGATATTAATGGTAACCAACAACAACTTAACTTAAAATAGCAAAAAAAAAAGAGATCAAATTATAGTCATAAGAATAGAATTGACCAGTAGAATAAAGTATATGAAAATATCCCCCCTCCCCCCGCCAAAAAAAAAAAACATATAAATTATACTATAAATTAAAATAAGTTTCATATGATATTTCATTTGTATCTAAGACTTAGAATCCAGCTAGGATGGACTTTTTTTTCTCAAAAATTGTTTTTTTTTTTTTTCAACAAAAGAAGAAGCATTTATCAAAAAAAATATTTGGATGTTTGCATTTAAAAAAAAAAAATCAAAAAATTGCTTTTCTTGGAAGCTAAACATTGTAGCTTATAAAAAAGGCAGAAAACAATTTTTTTTTTTATTTTAAAAAATCTAAATAGTTTTAACTTAAAAAACATTTCTAAAATAAGCAAGCATAATAGTTAAAATCTCGATTTATCATTATGGTTTTATATTTTTACGATTTGTTTTCATCAAAATAATTTTATCAATATATTCTAAATGCTTTTACGATTTTTTATATTATGATTTTATAGTTTATGATTTTTTTATCCCCTTCTAATTTTATGTAAAATCTCCATTTTAACTCTCTTATTTATAAACTAGATATGAAAAACATCTTTTGAGTGATAATCCATATTGAAGTAGTATATGGTTAATGTTTTCTGTAAGCAAGTAGATATTTAGAATTTAAATGGTCGTTTTTATTCTATTTCCACAATCTTTTGAATTGGTGGTCAACACTTTGCCCTTGATATTATCCAATTATTTAAAAATAACATTGCTTCACATTATTATGCATTATTATTATTAATGTTCCCAATTATTGCTATAGATATAAAATTTCTTATAAGCTCGAATACAATCAAATTAGCATAAATGGTGCTATACTATATATTGTGAGTAGAAATGTAAAATTTCACTGCTCCAACGGAGAAGGAATAAAATGAAAAGTCCCCTTGCAGATAAAATAGAATGGCCACTATAATACATCTACGCAAAAGATAGAATAGTTATAGAACCAAGCAAAAAGGAAAGGAATGATGAAAAAAGCAACAAAAAGAAAACCCCATTTTTTCGCGATAAGGGTAGGGAAAGAATCCTCGGACTACCAAAAATTTAAGTAAACTCTAGATCAAAAACAAATTCGTTTATTCATTTATTTATTTATTTTAAAAAAAAAACAATTCACTTCTTCATGAACTTCAATGACCAAATGATCCAAATCCATGAATCTATTATTATTGGAAGGAAATGAAACAGGATGGCTATCTCCATAGTTGCACCTTCATTTATGCCTCAAACTTAATAAAAAAAAAATTATGAAGTAAAACAAACGGTGATGATCCTCGGGTAGGTCCCAATCAATGGGCAGGAGAAAAATCTGATCGATAATCGCACGAGAACAAAAGGGAAAAATAAAAGCAAGAAAGATGGGAGCGACACGTCACGAGCTACACAGCGTCTACAAGAACAGGGTCCCACACCGGAAGGGTCCCTCGCTCGATGACTCGATCATCGTCCAAGCTCGTTTTTGTGAATAAGACTTTGCTGAGAGGGGACCCACCCAACGAACGAGAGCTCCATAAGTACGCCACTTGTTCCTAACGCACGATGCGAGAAAGACAGATACAACGGAACCCGTTCCATTACCATACGACAAAAATCCAAAACCCCCCCTTCACATTATTCATTTGATTTGGGATAAGAACTAAAATTAATAAAGGGGGAAGGAAAATAAAAAACTTGTTTTTCGTATTTATTCAGCTTCAGGCTCCGACGAAAAACATGCCGTCACGCGCTACCCAGTAGTGGACAAAACACCTGTCATCGTCAATGGCATTTCGGTGGTACCGTGGGAGCGAGGAGGGTAGTTTGGGGAGAAAACGAAAAAGTGTCGAGACGGAACCCTTTGTCGCCACGTGCCTTGGCGTCGGCCGCACGCTGGGAAACTCATTTGTCTCCTTCCTTGTAGCTTCTCTTTCCACCAAGACTTTCCATTTGGGTACGACTTTTACTTTTGCCCTGCCCTGTTTTTCACTACTTCTAGATCTACTGTCTCTATGCAAAATGTACTTAACAACCAAAGCCCACTTATTCATTTCCATTAAAAAAAAAAAACAAGTATTATCCTCGTGATAAAAGCTTCATCCATTTCACTTTTACAGTGGTTGGATTGATAATTGAAATATTGGATCTTCTTTGTACTCGGTTTATTTAAATAGATTTGACTGTTTTTTTTTTTAATTGAATATTTGATTTGAGCTCAAATTTTGAGAAAACATAGATTGAAATTCAGTTGATCTAAAATTTAGACATTACACAAATTAACTAATAAAATATTAAAAGTTATGGATTACAGATAAGACATGTTTCATAATATATTTTTAAATATATTATATTAATACACAAATATTATTATATTACTTGCCCAGTAAGGTGGATTGATGGGTTAATATGTAAACTGAGCCAATGACTTAATATGCAAGAATGCAATAAGTAAATGAGCAAAGATTAAGAAGGTGTAATTGTGAAAGATTTTAGAAGTTGTGAGGTGACATGAGCTGATCTATGTGTACGAGTCAGTGTGTAAAACAAATATGGGAGAGTCATCCAACGATGATGGAAGATGGTTATTTGCATAGCCGGGTAAAATATTTTGTGATGTAAATATTTTGTACTATAATGAAAGAGAACAATCGTGTAAAGAGTTCAACACATTTAAAATATTAATTTTATTCTTAATTTTTAAATATTATATATAATAAAAGAGATTGTCTTTTCTCATGTTACATAGGAAAAGAGCTATCTCCTACACACACATAGAGAAGAGAGATGAGAGAGAATAAGGAAGAGAAAAAGAATTTAAAATAGATCCCATGATCAAGACATGCAAAAGATCTATCTCCTACACACATCGCATGATCAAGACATGCAAAAGATCTCAACCATTCATTCTTGGATTAACAAATACGGTATCAATGATTAAGTTTGAAAAAATAAAAGTTGTTAATTTAATTATTGATAGTTGAGTTAAGAATGGATGATTAAGATCTTCTACATAATATGATTATGCAGAATTTCAACTTGAAATATCCACTCAAAGAAATATTATGAATGATCATTGTTCAGGCAAGCCCTTTCATGTCCTACACATTAGATCCAATAAAAAAGTTCACATTTAGAACCTTCTACAGAGCTCTCTCATCACGTAAAATTTCTCGTTTCTTCCTCATGAACTGCTGCTTCTGCACATAGGCAATGGGTTCAACATGGCTAGCCAGAAAAGATTAAGCTGGTTAGGTGACAATTTTCCACCTTCTCTCTCCCATGTTTGAGAGGGACTTCACTACTCTAAATACTCCTTTTCTTCCATAGAAAGAGCATTTTCTCCATTCAACTTTCATGCTATCACTTTGCATATTTGTGGAGCGACTCTTACGTACTCCCATATTTTGATACGCAGCAAAATGGAAAACCTATATATTACTTTGATCTTTATCATTGTAACTATGAATATCCCTAAATTGACATACTTTACCCTACCTGAGATATATCTATGAAATGAACCTCAAACGGTTGAATCACGTTAAATTGAATTTAATTCAAATTTAGACCCGGGGTAATCAAGTTTGATACGGGGCTACATATCGCTGTATTATTTATAACAGAACTTGATTTCTAAAATTAGTAAATTACCGGCCCTTACATGTAAGAAAAAAGTATTTTCCATCCTTTATCTCTAGTTCGGAAGACGAAAAACTTTATCCCTACACATATTGTAAACAAGGCCAAAACGGGCTTGTCAATAGCCATCGAGAAGCCTTTTTGTACACAAACTTGTACGTTACAACTCACAAGTCGTTTCTCCTTCCCTCTTAATACAACTCAAGGATACAAACAAAACAAGAAAAAGAAAAGAAAATAGATAATCAAATTGTTTCTTCTTTAAAATAATGTAACCAATTAAAAAAAAGAGTTTCTAATTAATTCGTAAGCAAATTTTTTTTTTTTAAAAGAAAAGAAATGGTAGGACCCATATAAACAGTTTATTTCGGCCGCCAGCTTTGTCGTCTCTGTCGTCTCCGTTCATCGTTCCTTTGCGTTTGACTCTCACCCTCTCCTCCTCCTCTCTCTCTCTCTCTCTCTCTCTCTCCTTTGTTTTTCTCTCCACTGCTCCTTTTATCATTCTTCAAACCTCAACTATTTCTCTCCCCTTCTCTTCCTGTTATCTGTGATCTCTCTAAAGTTCCATCTGTTTCATTTGTTTCACATACATAGAACTCTCTCTTCTTTTTCACTCACCTTAACCAACAAATCAATCGAAAGAGAAAGAGAGAGAGAGAGAGAGATACACGGCACTGCCCTCTTTCTGATTCCTCTCCCTGAACACTTGAACCGTTTTTCTCTTCTAATCTCTGTTTATCATTATTATTATTATTATTATTATTATGAGGCGGCATAAAAGGTCGGTTATCATGAGTGTGAGGATCACTGTTGCTTTTTAAGCGTGTTTCTCTGGATTTGGTTTTGAATCTTTGCTATTCACATAAGAGAGCAAAAAACAGACATGACTGGCAGTAATGAAGTCAACCTCAATGAATCTAAGGTAACATCCATCGTTTTCTTCTTCCGAGATTTAGTTATTTTTCTAACCTTTTATTTTATTATTTGAAGCTGGCATTTTGTTATTCTGTCTTCCTTGCTTTCTTTCTTCTGATGTGTGGTATTGTTGATGTTGGGTTTTGGGGGGTTGAAAGGGGGAAAGTTCTAATCTTTATAACATCAACTGCAAGGTCAAGGACTGTTTATTCGTTTGTGTTCATCTCTTGAGTTACAGAGAGTTCTCTCTCTCTCTCTCTCTCTCTCTCTCTCTCTCTCTCTCCGGGTTTAGTCAATAATGATGACCTCTATAGGATAATGTAGTTTTTGGGGTTGTTTTAATTTTTCTTGTACTTGCTATTTCTTCCAGGTAGGCCTCGGTTTTCTTGTTCTGGTAAGTTGGAAAATTCTAGTTTGATTTGGTGCCACAAGTTGAAAATTTCCTTCTTTTCCTCAAGATTTTTAAGGTTCAGATAGGCGCTTACACCCTTTACATTCCTTTTTGCTGCTCTAATTTTCTGCACCCTCTTTTCAATAATTTCTTTCTTTTGTGAGGGGGAAGAGCTTACAGCTTAGTGTTTTTGTTCTCTGATTAGGGGAACTAATCTCTAATTCATCTTAGAAGTACTGCAGTGTCAAATTAGAATGCGTAGTGTTCATATAGAAAAGGTTCTAATAATATCTTCAATCTTTGTAGAGTGTTGTCCCACTCAATACTTGGGTGCTTATCTCCAATTTCAAGCTTGCTTACAATCTACTAAGACGTGCTGATGGAACATTCAATCGAGAGTTGGCAGAGTTCCTTGACCGCAAGGTCCCCGCCAATTCAATACCCGTTGATGGGGTATTCTCTTTCGACCATGTTGATAAAAAAACTGGCCTCTTCAATCGGGTGTATCAACCAGCTCCTGAAAGTGAGTCACGGAGGGACATTTTAGAGTTGGAGAAGCCACTGAGCACAACTGAGATTGTTCCTGTGATAATTTTCTTCCACGGTGGAAGCTTCTCTCATTCATCTGCTAATAGTGCTATCTATGACACTTTCTGCCGCCGCCTTGTGACCATTTGTAAGGCTGTTGTGGTTTCTGTTAACTACCGGCGATCACCGGAGCACCGGTATCCATGTGCATATGATGATGGCTGGGCTGCGCTTAAGTGGGTTAGATCAAGGACTTGGCTTCAGAGTGGAAAGGATTCTAAGGTTTATGTGTACATGGCTGGGGATAGTTCTGGCGGTAATATTGCTCATCATGTGGCTGTGAGAGCTGGTGAGGAAGATATTGAGGTACTAGGTATTATTCTTCTTCATCCATTGTTTGGTGGGGAGAAGCGAACTGAGTCAGAGAAGAAACTGGATGGAAAGTACTTTGTGAAGTTGCAAGACCGTGACTGGTATTGGAGAGCATTTCTTCCTGAAGGGGAGGATAGAGACCATCCAGCTTGTAACCCGTTTGGCCCTAAGGGTAAAAGCCTTGCAGGACTTGAGTTCCCCAAAAGTCTTGTTTGTGTGGCTGGTTTGGATCTTCTCCAAGATTGGCAATTGGAATATGTGGAAGGTCTCAAGAACTCTGGCCAAGACGTTAAACTTCTTTACCTAAAGGAGGCAACTATTGGTTTCTACTTCTTGCCTAATAATGATCATTTCTATTGCCTCATGGAGGAGATGAAGAACTTCGTGAATTCTAACTGTTAATATACTGCTGTTTAACCTTACCTACAGGAGGCCATACATAACTAAAAAGCCTAAAAGCCTGACATTTCACTTGGGTTCTCTTTTTTTCTATTTTTGTATCTTCTCTTCTTCTTCTTTTTTCTTTTCCCTGCTTTATAGTGGTGGTGTGTAGTTAAGAAATTGTGTAGTTTTAATCACTGTAATAACATCTATGGTGGTAAATCTGAGCTTTCTGTAACCGGTGGACTACTGCTTCCTGTTCTCTGCCCATATCTTTTGAAGGGTAGCACCAGCTTCAGCAGTTTGAAGTACCAGAGTTCAGTTCATTTGTGGGGTTTGGCTGAGCCACCGTATACAAAGCTTTCCCCATTTAACTTTTTCGACCTCAATGACAAGAGGTGAGGTACAAGATAGGGCGTGGCTGATCACTATGATCAAGTGAATGCATTTGTTGTGTCACTTATTACTGAATGGGAACTGGAGCAGATCCCATCCTGTTACGAACTTGTATGTTACATGGTTATATAAATGTCTTGTTTGTTTGCTTTTCAGTTAGATTTTTCTCCAGGGAGAAGCTAATGTTGTAGTGTTCTATGTTACATCCTGCTATAATTCAAATTAAGTGGTTTGTACTTCTGAACACAAATTTCACAAACGGTTTAGCTTTGATTGTGAAGTTTGTGCAAAAAGTTGGCTGCCTTGTTATTTTTTGCCTTTCCTGATGGAAGGAAGGACTGTGATAATGGCTGCATATGGCATAGGTTAGCTTGTGGATGGCAAGTCCATGGGACCAGAAAAGTGAAAGAAATTAAAAAATTAAAAATAAAAATAAATATCCGTGTCTTGTTTCAAAGGGTCACCTTATTCATTCTTGGTATCTAGAACAACCTTCCAAAATCTAAAGTAAGCTCGTCATCTTTAGCATCCGAATCATCGCAAGTAGTGTAGTATAGAAGATAAAACTAGTAATATTGCACAAGTGGTAAAAAAGATGAAGCATTTGAATTATTTTCTGGTTTCTTGCCCCCACACTCTTTGCATCTCAGTTGTAGGTGGGACATATGATTCGCCTCAAAAAGTAGATAACAAATGTCCAAAGTGGAAAAGAGAAGAGATTTTTGCGTCATGCGTGTGCTTAATCATGTGTTACAAAGGAATAATGAAAGGGATTAAAGTTTATTATGTGGTAGGAGATCATTTTATCTTTTATATACACATAAAAGTGTGTGCGGTCATGTGAACAAAAGAGAAAGAAAGAAAGAAAATACGAATCTCATATACTTTTATGTATGTGTATGAGATAAAATTATCTCCGGTAAAATGAGAAACATTATTCCCACGATGAAACATGTAAAGAACAACCGGTGATGGCGACGGAGGAGGACCATCCTCAGTCTTTCATTGCCTTAAGCCAAACCTCATCTACCAAAAGGACATGAAAAACTTTCACAAGAAGAATGATTGGCAAGAGTTTGAATCATGATCTTCTCCATCTTTCAACATCAGTCTGATTAATTCTTGTCATCTCCTCAATGCTTATTTTGGATATGTCTTTTTGGCGCTTAGGAAAACAGCAAAAATAGGAATTTGGCATTGCTTTCATGGGGGAGAACGCATTTTTCTTCTTCTTGGGATTTTTGGATGTATTCTTAGGAACTACTTTTGGGAATCCACAAACCCGAATATTAAATCTGCTTTTAGAATATGGTAAAAAATATTTATTATTTTAAACGAGACAATTCTATATCATTTTAAGTGAAATTATTGTATTTTTATGGATTTTAATCTTCTCTCTCCTCTAAAATATTTTATTTTTATCTCTGCTCTTGATTTTTTAAAGGAGAGAAGATAAAAACTACCAAAACACAATAATTTCATTTAAAAGTACACTTTTTTTAAATAACAAATGTTTTTCTTTTAAAATATTAGTAATATATTATTTAAGGGTGAAGTGTGTATCATTTTAAATGATGTAAAGTTGTGTCATTTTAAGTGAGAGAAAGAGATAGATAAAGGAGGAGATAGAGTTGACAAAAAATATAAAGATGTAGACCCTACCTCTTTATGAGAGTACAATGACATAAGTTGTGTCATTTAAAAGGACAAATACTTTTTCCATTATTTAAATATTTTAGTATAAAATTTTACTTAATAATAAACAAAAAAATCTTTCTGCAGTTACTTCAGATAAGTTATTTGCATTTAATCCTAAACGATGTCATTTTGGAATCGAAAGATTAAAAAATTATAATTATAAAGACTATAATAATTCTAAAATAAATTAAAATTACAAAAATACCATAATTTTCGTCTCAAAATAACGTTGTAACGTCATATTGAAATTATCGTATATAACTTATCTGCAATTACTACAGAAAAAACGAAGCCAATAATAAATACTGAAAAGTATATAAAAGAGTGTGTGGCTATTTTTCTCTCAATGCCTAGTATGTGACAGGATTCGGGAACAGCTAAGCTTGGACAATGACATAGAACCCTGTTTTTATTGACTTTCTTGCATGCTTATCTACTATTTTATTTTATTTTTGAGCCTCGGCCTCTGTAATAACAGCAAACGTATTCAATTTGGTATGAAGACTTTGAAGCTTGATCTTCACCTTTCCTGTGCAGATTAATCTGCTTTACTTCATGTCTTATTATGAACTGTCCTTAGTAAATTAGCTGTTTATGTCTTTGAAAATATTCCCTAATACGACAGCGGAGGGAGTCATTGTCAACAAATGGGTTTTTCTTTATAGTGGATTATGGACAAAACTTCATTTGTTTGGTCGGTACCTTGCTTCTTAATGCATTATTATTATAACTATTTGAGGGATCATTGCTTGTGTTATGCGCGTTCACACACACCATTATGATGAATTGATGATTCCTTCTATTCGGGCGTGCGTCACTACTAGTGCCATATTTTATATACATTATACTCTAAATCATAGTTCTTCTACCCTAGTTAGCTACTTACTTTCAGCTTTCAGCTCAAAACCATTTGCCGCAAATGGTTTCTGCAAAGTTCGTTTGTCGGTGAAACTTAAAGTAGCCAAAACTGTGCTCCTTAAGTTCTCGAGTTTGAGGGCTGTGACTGAAAGAAAAGGATTTGGAAGAATTGTCCCTGAAAAGATTAGATGGTACTTGAAGGAAATTAATCTTCGGTTATTGTCCAAGGATATCCTTTTGAGATTATTCAAAAATAAAATAAAAATTAAAACACATAGATGTGTTAGTGTTAAGAGTTAAGACACCGTTAACAGAAGCATAATGGGAAATCCTTGATAACTTCTATAAATCTTCGGTTCTCAGAAGTAATTTTCTTCTAACTACCCCCAGTTTGGGTCAATTTTGGTGCTAGCCATATAGGTCAATAATTCTAATTTGAAAATTCTAAAGCTAGGGTTAGCTTTTGACCAGTTTAAACCTATCTCCTTTTTATTTCATTTTCAGAGTGTGACGTTGGAAATGTGAAAAGATTATTAATGAGTTTTGGAAGAATTAAAGAATGACAAAAATTCCAAAATATGATATTTCTTGTAGGCTTTGAATGATTGTAGGCCAATCGGGGCCAAGCCATACCAAACACCATGACACGAAATAATTCTATAAATTATAATCCGTAGGCATCACGGTTAGTTTGACACTTTCACTATCAAGCCTTTTTTTTTTTTCTTTGGTAATAACTTTTCGTAATAAAAAATGTTGATGGAAATCAGGGCATCTCATAATTTGGGTATAAACTCATTGTGCTGGCAAAATTGCATATTAAGGAAATGTAATGTCATTGATGAGGGTGACTTTTGGGGACACAAAAACAAACAAAAAATAGAAGGCTATAATGTAAACATCTTGTAACCTAAATATTCGTTGACTTAAAAATATATTTGTGGTCCTTATAAAACTAATTTAATCTTATCCATATATATTATAACCTATTTGCTAATAACAACGAACGTTAATCACCTAGCAGAAAAAAGAAATCAAGGTGTGTTGAGATAGTTTCTGACCCGAGTAATTAAAGAAACAGAGACTAAGGATGACTATACGTATGAGGTTAAAGGAGAAAATTTCCCTAATATTTATTATATTTTGGTTTGAAAAAAAAATCTCATTTGCTACTTGCACAATTAAACAATTGCATAAACATTTATTGCTTGCGTTAACCGTTGAATGATTTATGTATTAAATCAACAATTTGATTAATATTATTGATACAATTAAAAATCATGCAAAGCATATATATTTGCTTGTGTTGACTATTGAATGATTGATTATTTATCAAAGAACTGAATTTTTTCTATTTAACTTTGTAGCTGTATAAGTTCACTTTAAATGATATAAAATTTCATAAACAAGTAACTTCGCAACTTGCCAATAATGGAAAAAAACAAAGACTGGTTGGATATGAAAGAACAGAGTTAAGAAAAAAAAAATATCAACTATCACAAAAGACAGAATTTAAACAAATAGCTCGTTATTGCCTGATTTAGAGTCAAAATCATGTAACAGGTAATGTCTTCAAAGGGTAAATGGGTTTGGGACCTACTTATCTTGTTCAGTGTCTCTAGCAAATAAACTTCCAAAACTGCTCCATCATTCTGATGGTATCCAAATACACATATGGAGCTTTAACTTTTAGAAAAAGAGAAAATGAAATTGAAACAACCACGGATTGGGAAAGTTGCTGAACTTCCCAACATCCAAAACATGAAAAATAAAAATTCCTTTTGTGTACAGTTAATGAATTGCCTGTACTCGACTCATAAAACGCTAGTTGATAACTATTTTCCCTAATTTCAAGATTTTAGTGTAACATTTAATCAAAATTATTATTGGCATACTATAAAATTCTGTGTTTTTTCATCAATTGATAAAAAAATCACGTCCAATCAACGTCTAATATAAGGATAGAATTTATAAGAGATCAAAATTTATTAAAAACAACTTCTGATTAGGGGTTGAGTCAAATGATAGAATTTGTAAGAGTTCACAATTCATTAAAAAAATCCAAATTATGCTCTCTCTCTCTTTTTTTTTTAAACTTATCCCATTATTATAAAATTTTTATACATATTTTATAAATAAAAAACTGACCTTAAGAATAGAAAATTACATTGTAAAATATTAAACTTTCAAACACACATGAAATAAGAAAATCTTTTGGTCTGTCAAAAAATAAAATCCATTAATTCAGAAGAGAGTGAATATAGGGTATTTTGACTAGCCAAGAAAACTCTCCTTGTGTCGGCACATCTAATTTAGGATATTGCACAATATAGCTAACTAGGGAGGAAATTGTTAGGAACTCAGCATCTAAGCGTGCCGTAAGTCAAACATTGAGCTCGAAGTTCGTCAGTCACAATCAGAGGTCGGTCTAAATCACTAGGTCAGCTATCGCAGCGAAAACAGAAAAATGTAGAGGAGAGAGAAAGAGAAGAATGTAGTCAAGATGTTTAACGTGAGAAAATTTTCTCCAATGTGAAAAGGTAAAAATCCACGAAATATTAGTCCAAAATGAAACTTTCACTGTGAAAATAATGGGTACAAGATATCAAACTTCACCAATAATGATGGTACACTCAAATCTCACATACAATGGTGGTATTCAAACTTTCTTAGAGAGGTCTTACTCAAACTTTCCTCTAGAGGTGATATCTAATACAAAGCTCTAAGTTTTTCTCAAAATCACTAA